CTTTGGTACTTTAAATAAATAGCATGTTTATTGGCCATTCTTTTGAGAAATGCCTGCTTAAGACTTTTGCCTTTTCTATCAGTTCGCTTGTATTCTTGTTGATTTCAAGATCTTTTGTAATCAAAATGAGCCCCTTGACAATAATATTTGTTGCAAATTCTTCTATTCACAGGCCATCCTTTTAACACTTGAAATAATTTTAATGGAAATTTTAGTATAGTCCATTTTGATGCTTAAACATTTTTGTAATCTGTTTAAGAAATATTTATCTAAAATGAAGTAGCCAGAAAGTTCTGTATTTTCTTCTAAAAGTCTTATATTTTATTTTTACTTTCATATCTGGATTCTATCTGAAAGTCTATTTACATATAATATAAAGGCGAAGATATATTTTTTCAATATGACAAATTATTGAATATCATTTATTGAAAAGATTATCCTATACTCATGGCAAATAGTGCAAATGCTTTTTTCAATTTTTACTGTAATACTGTTTCAGTATAAGTTTTATCACAAAATTTTATTTTATCACCTATCTCCACTGCTCATCTCATTCTTCTCTTTTATTTCAGTTTTTTCCCTATTTTTAGATTTTTGCTTTATGTTCTATAGTTACCACTCGCTTATTATATTGATGATATAGTTTTCTAAACTTTTGTTCTAATTACTAAAATAAATTTTTGGAAGTTTTCTCCCCCTCTTTGAGCCCAGGATATTTCCTTTTCCATGTGCCATATGTGTATACAGTTGTTATCTTGTTTCTTACAAAATTCTTATCTCTCATATACTACTGGTGACAAGTTACTTTGAAAACTAGTTAGTGTGTTAGGCATTTCATGCAATTCTGGTGGAACAAATCAGATATTCCCCTAACTTAGAGTAAATCTCTGAGATATGCTTAGCAGGTGGAGTTTGTGGAATATTAGATGCTCAGTGTGCACGGCTAACAGCCTCTTCCTGATTCAATCTATATTTTTTTATAGCAGGTAAAAGTCAAAAGACACAATGTGCCAACAGAGCCCAGAGTTCTTAACTCTTGTGATCATCTTGTGATATTATCTATCAATGTTAAATCTCTAGTGTTCTAACTAGTGGTGGAACTAATGATAGTTCTTTTAAAAACTACTCATTAATTTTGTAATTTATAAAGATAAATTTAACAACATATTTTAAAGCAGAAACCATTCAGTGTAAGGACAGATACATGATTTTTTGCTAGGTAGAGGATTATTGCTGAACAGGGTTGAAAAAGACAGGAATATAAGAAAAGTGTGTTTCAAATCTGTTTACCACTTTAGCATCGGCAGGCACTGACGATGCTGAATCATTATGTGTACCTTTGACACCTTCATTGGCTTGTAGTTACAACAATGGGTTGATTGTAAGCAGATTTATGTCTAAATGTCCTTCTGGTTTTTTTCTGTTTCCTTTTTTGTAAAGTTAGGAGAATTCTCTGTCCATTTCCAGGAGATTCTAGCTAAATGCCATCTTAAAATTTCAAAATATCTGATGTCAGCCATGTTAGGACAAACACAATACACTAATGATTTTAGCGGAAAAAGGAAAAGTTTATATCATTTGGCATGATCTATGAAGAATGTCCCAAATAAAGAGAATTTTGAATTGGAATGAATTGAAGTTTCATGGGGACAGCTTAACAAAATACTTGAGGGACCTATTTTACCAATAATGATTGGATAAAGGGATAAGGAAGGAAAAGAACGAGGGAGGGAGGAAAGAAGAAAAGAAAATAGGAAGAAAAGCATTAATGAGTACATGAATAACAATAGATTTTGGAACATAACCCTGTCTTCATTATGACATGCAAGTGATATTCTTGAGCTCTTTCTTATGTTTCTGTAGAAGATCTAATTCATGCCCCCAGTATTTTATGGTATCTCTAGCATTTTTCAGTAAAATTTTCAGTCATGAATATTTATTTATTCGGTAAATATTTATTGAGCACGTACTATTTGTCAGGAACTGTGCTAGTTACTTAGGATATGTCAGTGAACAAAATAGACAAAAAAATATGCTTCAGACCTTTGTTTTCAAATATAAGGATGAGAGGATAGCCTTAGAAGAAAAAGAAAGTGAGATCAAAGACTGTGAAGAAGAGGAAATGAGTGTGAAAACGTAACTGGAGGGATCTTGTAAAGATATGCTCATCTTTGGAAACTGCTCCTAGCACCTCCCACTGCACTTTCTAAGACTTGAGTACAAAGTATGGTAAGCATAGCAAATTACACTTCCATACACATCCTATGTACCAGAACAAATTTCTAGATCTTTGTGAAGATCCAAGAACATCTTGAATTCCACTCACATCAAGGATTGGAGCTGCTCTCTCCTGTTTTATCTGCCTTGTGCACTAATTTCTTCTTATCCTTTCTGCTTGGGAAAAGGTGTGGCTAATACAGAGCTAAAGATGCTTCAGAATCTATCTAAATGAAAAACACGTATTTTTGTTGCCTTTTGAATATTTAGGGGTTAGCTCTATCTCTTCATAGGATTAGAGAGCATTGCTTTTCTCAACTCCTAACTCAGGATTCCTACTTTATCATTTTGACATTTTGCTTTAAAATGTGTATCATCTTCTGGGATGGTACTGTGACACATTCCACTGACATTATATTTGATTCATTATTTGGGGGTTTCTTTTTTATCATTGCTTCAAGTAAGGCAAGATTGAACAACAAATGCTTAGATTTTTGAGCTTGACAATCTGAGGTTTATAAATAAATTAAAAAGTTGGTGCTAACACTTATCAAGACTGGAATATTGGCAAGTTTTAAACCTCTTTGAGACTTAGTCTCCTAATATGTAATGTCTCAGAATAATTCTTCACCAAACACTTACAATGATTAAAAGATATAATATAATTAGACTTTACTAAAAAGATACTGACCTTTGAAGCCACAAATAAATAAATTCTTGAAAGATTTGACAATGTAAAAATTAAAAACAGCCTCATTAAAAAATAAAATAAGGGGCTGGTGCCGTGGCCGAGTGGTTAAGTTCACGAGCTCTGCTGCAGGCGGCCCAGTGTTTCATTGGTTCGGGTCCTGGGCGCAGACATGGCACTGCTCGTCAGGCTGTGCTGGGGCAGCATCCCACATGCCACAACTAGAAGGACCCACAATGAAGAATATACAACTATGTACCGGGGGGCTTTGGGGAGAAAAAGGAAAAAATTAAAAATCTTAAAATAAAATAAAATAAAAGGTAGTATATTAGAATAAAATATTCAAACAAATATAAAAGCAAATAACTATCTAAGATATAGAAATAATTCCCACAAATAAATGGAAAAATAATCTAGTAGAAAAATGGTCAAAAGATATCAATAATCATATGACCAAGTTTGGATGATAGGTACCAATATACAGAGAAAAAGTGTCTTGAAAGCACTAGGAGTCAAGAAGATGCATATAGACAATGTATATTTGGATTGCTAAAATAAAAAATACTGGTAATTCCCAAATTGTGCCAGGATATAAAACAAGCCTTCCCATTTACTGATGGTTAGAGTATAATTGTTTAACACCATATGGAGGGTAAACTGTCATTTTCTCCAAAAATTTTGAATGCGCCTTTCCTTTGACATGGCAATTCCAATTTCAGAAATCTCATTAAAATAGACACTTCCAGGGGCCGGTGCCAGGATGTAGTGGTTAAGTTTGCACATTCACTTGAGCAGTCTGGGTTCATGAGTTCAGATCCTGGGGGGGGGGCTACATCACCCATCAGCCAAGCTGTGGTGGCAACCCACATACTAAATAGAGGACAATTGGCACAGATGTTAACTCATCTGTGGCTAATCTTCCTCAAGCAAAAAAAAAAAACAAAAAGGGAGGAAGACAGGCAGTGGATGTTAGCTCAGAGCAAGTCTTCCATAGCAAAAAAAGAAAAGACACTTCCACACATATACAAAAGTGAATCTACAAAAGTGTGTAAGACAACATCCCTTATGACAGCAAATAAATAGAAAGAAATTTGCATCAATAGAAAAGTAATTAATTATATGATGGAATGTTTCAAAGTACTAAATAGGAATCAGAAAGAACGAAGTGGACTTCTTTACTTTTTTTCTATGGTAGAAAGATCTGCAGGAAACTTTATTGAATGAAAATCAAAAGGCAAGTTAAAAAAAATAAAATAAATCCAATTTACATGGCAAATTGCATGTGTGTATATGTGTGTGTAAACGTGTATGTAGTTGCTTCAAATTGTATACAAAGACATATATACATATAATTGAAAGAAAACAGGCTGACATGATACAACTTAAGCTATCAGCACTGGCTTTCTCTGAGAGGACAGTGGGACCTGGGGTGGAATCAAGGAGACTCAGCTGTGGGCTTTCACTTTTGCTCTGTCTGAGCCTTTTATGATGAGATATATCTGTGTGTTGCTGAGGGAATATCAAAAAATGACGAAAACTCTTTAGAGTTTCAACACTTAGATGCAACACTTCTAAACAAATAAAAACAAGTTAATATTCACTTAATTTTTGTTTCTTTCCAAAAAAATAATTCCTCTTCACAAATATTCATGCTGTGGCTAGCAACCAAAAATAGTTCAGATTTTTCTCAGAGAAAAAGTAATTTGTTTCTGGTAAGTGTAACAACTATAAATAGTATGCATTTCAGACTTTGGACTTGTTCCTGGGTCCAAATGAAAGAAGCTTTGGGGACAAGTAGAATTCTTCTTATTTTCCTCACCTTTCATATTGAGACTAACACACTGGAACCAACATTTTATAGACATGAGGAGGAGCCATGAGAAGTTATTAATACCTCTCCCCTTTCTGCTATGTTATAAATCTGATTCTTAGTCTCCTCATAATTCTTCTCAGCCACATCAAGAAATGAAGGGTTTACTTCTTTCCTCTCTCCCTTCATCCTGTCTTTCTTCTTTTCCTTATCCATCTTCTATATTTTTCCTTCCCTTCACTTTCATCCTTTCTTACTGCTCTCTGACTCTCCTGCTAGATGGCTTTAGATTTGCTCTGATGGCTGCTGCCTCCCATCACCCCATCTCCAGAGAGATATTGCACAGGTGCAGCCCCATCTGTCCCAACGTGCCTCTCTCAGCATGCAGTAGTACACAGCAGTGTCTCTCAGAGTGACCTGGGGCAGGATCAAAGTGCTGGACCTTCTGTCTGTTGCGATGGTCAGAGAGGCGATGTTGTTGGTCACATTGTCTCGTAAGCTGTGAATTATATACTGTGGACTCTTGTTGGAATTTTGCCGATACCAATGTATATAATCATATCCACTGATGGTAGAATGGTTACAAGGTAAGTTTGCATCTTCTCCTTCAGCACAATCCATGGAGTTGGGCTGAATGGTCTTAGCATCAGTCACAGTCCCTAAGGGGTCAAGAAAATCAAATTAGCTCCAGACCACAAATCAATGGAATTCTATGCATCAAGGGCACAACACTCCCATTACTCTCTGCCCTTACCCCTACTCCAGTGTTTTTATTTACATCCTGCTAAAATACAAAAACATCATTGGTGTTCATTATGGAGATCAAAGATATGTACCAAGAATTACAGACTCCACAGGCTCTGTTCCATGGGTCCTTGGCTCAATAAACCCAGAGATTTCTTACAACCTGGATACTGCTAAGGGCTCTTTTGAGATCATGGCTATGTTTTAACCTGTCATCTAGAAATCTGTGCTCCTAGACAAATGCATAGATAAGTTCTTAGTTCCATCCCTAGCATACTGGATAAAGCACAGGGAGAGGTGTCAGGAGCAATCAAGCCTTCAAGCTCCTTTGGCCTCAAAGCCATCCCTTGGTACACACAGAACACTTACCCAAGGTAAGAAAAACAGTTACTCCAGTCACCAGCCTCATACTTCAAAGAGAAACTAGGATCATGGGCCCAGAGCTCAGTCTTTGTGTCTGATCCTAGGCTCAAAGATGTTCCAGAGAACAGAAGCAACAGACGCTAGTAGGGACTTGCAAGGAGTGCAGCTACCACTGTGTTGCCACCAGGACCTTGTCAGCCAATGAGAGAGCAGTTCCTTGTCTAGATCTGCCTCCTTTGCTTTAGTCATGTCCTAAGAAGAAGGTAAGAATATCAACCAGACATCCCCAACTCATGGGGTGCCCACTGGAACCGTTTCTGAGGTTTACAGTTTGGATAAGGAAAATCAGTCACAAGGAAGTGTCTATCCAGAACCTTTCTTCCATCATTTCTTCCTCAATGTAGCAGAGAAATTGGCTGGACTTGTGGAAAGCATTATTTAATCCAGAAAACAATACTGAGCTCTATGCTGGAAGGAGATGAAAATTCCCATCCACATTCCAAAAAATGCATGTGAGATTCAGAAGTAGGCAGTGACATGCTCATGGGGACAGGAAAGATTAATAACATTGAGACTAAAAGCTAAACCTCTTGGAGCTCAGGTTTCCTATAAAGGTCCCTGGAATCATGTATCTACTGACATCCACGGAGACATTTCTCTATGCATCTGTTCTCAAGAGAGTAACTGATGACATGCATGGTGCTCACCCTCATCCTCCTTGAATAAACCTCCTTTATACTCATCTCCTCTACACCCATGCTTATGGGTGCTGGATGCCAGGGATACTGAGGCAGAAAGAAAAGAGAGAAGGGAAAGAAAACAAGGGGAGGAGGTGGGGGTGGTAGGAAAGGTCAGAGGAGGGAAGAAAAAAAGAGTATAAGGAAGGGAGAAGGTAAGGGATCATCAGGGAGGGGAAACAGAGAGAAAGTCCTTAGGGAGGTACAGGAAACGGCTCAGGCTATTGGGCTAAGAGCTCTGAATCCTTGACCACATACACTCAGAGAGAGATTATAAAGTACAAGTCATCTAAAGACGACGAAATATGTCATTTTTCCCTTTTTCTGTGGAACGTCAATGGAAAGCATGAGCTTACCTTCCCTTCTGCCGGAAAGGAACTGTTTGCATGTGAAACTGCTCCCTCTCGTGGCTGAATCGATGAACTGCAAAACCAAAACCGGGCCAATAGGTCAGCCAGCCGTCTCCTGAAAGATGCTCTCCTCAGGTCTGAAGGTGGACATCTTAGTTGTAACACCTCTGTACTCATCTTTGTTTTCCCCAAACACTCTAAAAATTCCAAGAAATGTTTTGATTACTATTTCAGTAACATCCCCATTATGATTCTCAGTTGTTGGCTGCTCTTTAATTTTCCTTTTCTCTCTAACCTCATATTTAAAGGTTGGTTCTAAAGTCCATATTATTCAATGTTTATAAGAGAGATTGGCACAGCCTAGACACTCAAGAATTACCTGCTTCCTGAATGAGTAAATGAGTCATTATTCATGAATTTAGTGGGAGAAGTTATGCTGAAGAACTCCTTATATTATTCTAAATACAATCTTCCAACTTATGGAAAACATTTTGAACAAAAGACTCCAACAGGATAAATATAGGGCGAGATTTGTGGACAAAATTCATTAATAGACAACAAATTTCCCAAACCTAGGGTGTGTAAAATCAGACTATGAAGATACAGGAGTAAATGTCATATTAATCATACTCCATTTATTTAACAAATATTCATCGAGAGCCTATTCTATGCCAGATCTCACACACACACACAGGCACACACACAGATAAGTCAATAACACACTGTGGCTGAAAATATAAAAACAAAAACTGAAATTATCTGAAGACAGAAGAAAAGTAACTAACAATAACTTTTTTGTTTGTTGATGTACTTTTATTTTTTTTATTTTTTTTTTAAAGATTTTATTTTTTCCTTTTTCTCCCCAAAGTCCCCCAGTACATAGTTGTCTATTCTTCATTGTGGGTCCTTCTGGTTGTGGCATGTGGGACGCTGCCTCAGCGTGGTCTGAAGAGCAGTGCCATGTCCGCACCCAGGATTCGAACCAACGAAACACTGGGCCGCCTGCAGCGGAGCGCGCGAACTTAACCACTTGGCCACGGGGCCAGCCCCTGATGTACTTTTATTTTTTAGAAGATGATAGAGGCCTCTAACAAGTGGTGTTTAAAATAATATAAAAACACAAAAAATACTCTATGACTCTGGAGAATTTAAAAATATGTTTGTCTAGTGTATTGCCTTTTTACAGAATCTTGAATTTTAGCAGATTGTATTATCTCCAGGACGCTATGAAGTGAAGTTATCTTCCTTTGCTTGATGAAAAACAGAATAATGTACTTAATTTACTTTCAAAAAAGAAAGAGGATTTGGTAAAAGGCTAACACCTTTGCCTGACAAACACTGTCAACAATCCAGAAATAGAAGGGAAATTCCTGAATCTGAGAAAGGGTATCCATGAAAATGTCCAAAGTCAGTATTATCCTCACTAAGGTCAGGAACAAGACAAAGAGACACTATCAGTGCTTCTGTTCACTCTCATACAGCCTGGCATCAAGTCACGAAAAGGAAATAAAACATAAAAGTTTGGAAGGGGACAAGTAAAATCATTTTTATTCTTCGATGATACATTTGTATACATAGAAAATATAGAGGAATCTATAAACAAACTACAAGAACTGGAACACATAGGTGGATTAGAGCTGCTGAAGAAACAAATCAATGTTATTTCTAGACTCCACCTAAAAGCGTCGGAAAATAAAATTAAAATACTGTTTATCAAATATCTGGGTATTAATTTAACGAGGGTTTACAAATCCTCTAGAATAAAAACTACAACACATTGATAGAAGGAATTAGAGAGGACCTACGTCAATGAAGAGGATAGCATACGAATCTGCGGATCCCGTATGTTATAATGTCAATTGTCCCACGTTAACCCTTAAATTCAAGATAATCCAAACCAAATCACTAGCAATCTTTTGTGGTAGAAGTTGAGAAGCTAATTCTATAACTTATGTGGAAGTACAAAGATCTAGAGTAAGCCCTGAAAAAGAAGGAGAAAGTTTGACTTACATTTCCAGATTTTAAAACCTAAATGGAGTCCCAGTAATTAAGACAGAAAGGTCTATAAGTATGAGGACAAAAAAAAGTCAACAAACAAGATCAAATCCAAAGATAAACCCACACACATACACTGCTAACTGATTTTCTCCAAAGTTTCCTAAATAATTCAGTTGGTGAAAAGATGGTTTTCTTGGATAAGTGGGGGAGCAATCATCTATTCTTGTTTTTAAAAATACCTTGACCCCTCCCTCATACCATACAAAAAATTGATTCTAGATGGGAAAGAGCTCTAGATGTGATAGGTGAATCTGTAATGTTTCTGAAAGAAGGCAAGAGAATTTCTTTATGACCTTGAGAGTGGGCAGAGATGTCTCTAAAAGCACATACGAAACACTACCTATGAAAGAAATGATAATACATGGCACTACTTAAAAATTAAACACATATTCCCCAAATACACCATTGAGAGAGTGAAAAAGCAAGTCATAGATGAGGCTAAAATATTTATGCTGAACATATCTGGCAAAGAGCTTCAATGCAGAATACATAAACTTGCCTATAAATTTAAAAATAGTAGAAGTAAAATAATTTACAACCCAAAGAAACATGGACACATGATGTGAAGTGACACTTCTCAAAATACATTATCCAGGGGCAGCCTGGTGGTGCAGTGGTTATGTTCTCGCACTCCGCTTCGGCAGCCAAGGGTTCGCAGGTTCAGATCCCAGGCACAGACCTACACACCACTCATCAAGCCATGCTGGGGTGGCATCATACATAAAAAATAGAGGAAGATCGGCACAGATGTTAGCTCAGCAACAATCCTCCTCAAGCAAAAAGAGGAAGATTGGCAACGGATCTTAGCTCAGGGCCAATCTCCCTCACCAAAAAAGTAAAGAAAGAAAGAAATTACCCAAATGGCCAAAAAGCTTAGGAAAATGTGATCAACATCATTACTCATCAACAAAATATAAACTAAATTCATAATGTGATACGACTACATAAACAGTAAAATTTTTAAAAGAATAAGAACTTCTGCTTCTGGAAGGATGGAGTTGTCACTAATTTTAATTAAGCCATTCTGATGTGTGTGTGTAGTGATCTCAATGTGGTTTTAATTTACATTTCTCTAATGGCTAATAATGTTGAATATATTTTCATGTGCTCATTTGCCATCTGTACATCTTTTTTAGCGAAATAGTTCTTTGCCTGTATTCCAATCGGATTGTTTGCTTTATTTACTGTTGAGCTTTGAGAGTTCTTTATATATTCTAGATACTGGTCCTTTGTGGGATTTATGATTTGCAAATCGTTTTTCTCAGTCTACAGCTTGTCTTTTCATACTCTAGGAGGGTCTTTTGCACGGCAAAAGACCTTAATTTTTAAGTCCAACTTATCATTTTTTTAGACTTTTATGGACTGTGTTTTGGTGTTGAGTCTAAGAACTCTTGGCCTAGACTTACACACCAAAAATTTTTTCCCATACTTTTTTCTAAAAGCTTTATGGTTTAGCATGTTACATTTAAGTCTATGATCCATTTTAAGCTAACTTTTGTATAAAGTGTGAGGCTTCAATCAACGTTCATTTCTCTTGCCTCCAGTTGTCCACTTACTCCAAAACCAGAAGTTGAAGATTTCTTTCCTCCATTGAATTTCTCTGGCACATTTTTGTTGTGTTTTTTTTTTCTTTGCTGAGGAAGACTGGCCCTGAGGTAACATCCATGCCAATCTTCCTCTACTTTATATGTGGGACACCTGCTACAGCGTGGCTTGTTAAGCGGTGTGTAGGTCTGCACCAGGATACAAATTGGTGAACCCTGGGCTCCCAAAGTGGAGTATGTGGACTTAACACCTATGCCACAGGGCCAGCCCTTCTTTGGCACTTTTACTAAAAAAATATGAATTGGATATGTTTGTGTAGATGTGCTTATGGGTTCTCTATTCTTTTCCATTGATCTATGTGTCTATCCCTGTACCAATAGCACATAATCTTGATTACTGTCATGATAGCTTAAAATCGGGTAGACAGATTGTTCTCATTTTCTTGTTCTTTTTTCAGGATTGTTTGAGCTATGTTAGTATCTCTGCCTTTTCACATAAATTTTAGAACAATCTCGCTTATAGCTACAAAAATTCTGCATGGACTTTAATAAGAACTATGTAAAATGTGTAGTCACTTTAGGGAGAACTGACATATTTACTCTCTTGAGTCTTCCAATTTACAAACACAGATGTCTCTTCATTGTCTTCTTTGATTTCTTTTCATCAGCACCTTGTAGTTTTCAGCAAAAAGTTCAGAATAGGTTTTATTAGATTTACACCTAATGATCTGAGACCATTTTTGAGTCATTGTAAATGGTATTGCATTTTTATTTTTTTTTTATTTTGATTTATTTATTTATTTATTTTCAAGGAAGATTAGCCCTGAGCTAACTACTTCCAGTCCTCCTCTTTTTTGCTGAGGAAGCCTGGCCCTGAGCTAACATCGTGCCCATCTTCCTCTACTTTATATGTGGAACGCCTACCACAGCATGGTGTGCCAAGCATTGCCATGTCTGCACCCAGGATCTGAACTGGCGAACCCCGGGCCGCTGAGAAGTGGAACATGTGAACTTAACCGCTGCGCCACCAGGCCGGCCCCTGGTATTGCGTTTTTAAATTAGGTGTTCACATGTTTATTGCTAGTATATGCATTTGATTTCTGTATGTTTATCTTATATCCTGTGACCTTGCTGAACCCATTTAATAGTTTTAGGAGTATTTTTGGTATATTCTTTGGGATTTTCTAGTCATGTTATCGACAAACAGTGGAAGTTTTACTTCTTTTCTGATGTGCATGATTGTGTTTACTTTTACTAGCTTTATTGCGCTGGCTAGAACATCTAGCACTATGTTGAATGGGAAGTTTGTTGTCTACATTGAAGGGAAATGACGAGTGAATATACTTGCCTTGTTTCTGACCTTAGGGAAAAAAATATATTCTTTTACCAGTCAACATCCTATTGCTTGTTGAGGAAGTTCCCCAGTATTCCTATGTTTCTCGGAGTTTCATGGATGAGTGCTGAATTTTGGCAAATGTCTTTTTTTCTGCATCGATTAATAAAATCATGTGATATTCATTTTTTAGCTTCTCAATATGATGGATTCCATCAACCGATTTTCAAATATTGAAGCAGCCCTGCTTCCTTGAAAGAAAAATCTATTTGCATTTGGGGTATTATTCTTTTTTTTAATTGATGAATTGTACTTGCTAACATTTTGTTAAGAAATTTCTGTCTGTATTCATGAGGGAAATTTCTCTGCATTTTTGTTTTTCATATGATCTTTGTCTTGTTTTGTTATCAGGGTAACACTAGCGTCATAAAGTGAGTTAGGAATTATCTCCTTCTTTCTGTTTGCTGGAAGAAATTGTGTAGGATTCATGCTAATTCTTCTTCAAATGTTTGGTAGAATTTGCCAATGCAACGGCCTGGATATTTTTTTAATTGAAAATTTAACTTTTTCAAGGATATTGTGACTTCAGCTTTCTCTGACTCCTGTTCTGAGAAGAGAGAGGAGGAGCTGCTCCTGGAGCCCACAGCGAGGTTTGGGGACAGGCAGCAGGTGCTTCGAGAGCTCTGTGCCCCTGCGCAGAAATAGGTCCCCACATCTGCAGTCTGGGCGGCTGTGATGTGCAGGGAGCTGTGCTTTCTAGTCTCTCCAAACCGAGCTGTCAGCCTTTCCTGCTTCTGCACGTCTCCACCTGTAACTACCATCATCAAGAGAACAGGACTTCCCCCAGGCCTCTGCTTATACCACTGCAACCTGTTTAAAGTGCTTGAGGAATTGCAGTAGGTGGTGAAGTTCTCTCCTTCCTGTAGGAGCAGGGATGGAGGAATTTGCTGTATCTGTTGTCCATTCACTTCTGTTCAGAAAAACAAGGGGAAGCATCAGAGAAAGTCTGATTAGATCTCTATTCTCTGCACTACAATGGTCTCTCTCATTCTTCTTATCTATTTTTCTGTTCTTTCCCTGTCTCCCTCCCCAGCTTGCTCTATCTTCCTTCTTTTAGTTTTTTCTTTTTTTCCAAATTCTTTGCCTTCGATCAGAAAATCTCTTTCCTGCAGATGCCTGCAGATATATTCCACTATGTTGAATTCTCTGGAAGCAATAAGGGAAATCTCAAACTCACGTGATACTTGCATCCATATGATCAGCGCTGGTACCATGAGTAGCTTCTCCCTCTTCATCCTCCTCAGAAAGAGTTGCTGAATCTGGCTGCTCCTAAATGGGTTTCCCTTGTACAAGCTTCTTCAGGACACAAAGAAATGTTATCTGCCACTACCTTTTGGAAAGAAAAGGGAAGGAGTGACTGCAGTTTGAGACAGCCAATCTGATTTATCACAATTCTGCTCATCCACCTTCAGAGTCGGGCGGGAGGGTGGTCTGTGTTTGCAGATGCTGCCCCCCTGTGGCTGAACTCAAAAATTGCTGACTTTAAAACCAATTCCTTATGCAATTGCTCTCTAATTCTAGTGGTATAAGTATTTGTCAAGGCTTGAAAAGAAAGAGTTTATTGATGCTGACATTGTTTAAGGAGGAATAATTTGACTTTTGAAAATGGATTCTGTGATTTAAAACTGGGACATCAGAAGGAAATAAAAGTTGGAATTGTCATTTCTAGTTTCATCCAGAATTATGTGGTATATGTCTGTGCAGGTGCTAATGGAACATATGAGGTCACAGACATTTTATAAATGTATAAAAGACTCATAATTTGTTGTTAGACAACCCATGATCTCAAAATGGAAGATAAAAATAATCTATTTCTCTGTTGTCATACAGATTACCCTAGTTGTAAATTATCCAGTTTAGTGCTCATATCTACTGTCCCACTATGTTACTTTTCCACATATGAGGGATTTTTAAAAATCAATATAATCTGAAAAAAAGAATTCTTATCTATCAGATGCGACTTTCTCTGAGATGGCTTCTTTAAAACAAAACTCTTGGATACAATGGCTCGATGAATTTCAGTCTGAGTTTCACAACACTTGTCACCCTGTGTTATAACGACCTGTTAATTGTCTGAGCTGACCTCCTGTATCCTGAGGGTATGTGTATATCATCTTCAAGAACTGTGCTGCCCTATATGGTAGCCACTAGCCACATGAGGCTACTTAAATTTAAATTAATTAGAATTAAATAAAATTTAACATTTAGTTTCTAAGTCATACTGGCCACATTTCAAGTGCTTGTTAGCTAATTGTGGCTAGTGGCTATTGGACAATGCAGACATAGAACATTCCCAATGTCTCAGAAAGTCCTGATGGACAGTACTTCTCTGGGTCCGTGAAAACAAGGAGTTTTGGCTGTTTTGTTCACTGATGTTTCACAAGTAAAGACCCTGATATGTGGTAGGAACTCAATAAATATTTGTCTATTGTTCATCACCATGTTCCCAGAAACTACCGTAATATCTGCTAAAGAGTGGATACTCAAACATTTGTCGAATGATTAATATGTATGTTTGCATATATGATATGTGAGAGTTTGAATTCAAAATATTTCAAAAACCAATCTAAATGTACCCTTCCATGAATGTAAACAGTCAAGGGAAGGTTGTAGCTATTTGGAAATGTTACTTTGGGGAGACTGCATTACTTTCCTAGGTCTATCATAACAAATTACCACAAATTTGATGGCTCAAAACAACAAAAATTTATTCTCTTACAGTGCCGGACACCAGGAGTCTGAAGTCAAGGTGTCGGCAGGGTCATGAATGCTCCAGAGGAGAATCCTTCCTGGCCTCCTTTAGCTTCTGGAGCCTCCAGATATCCTTTGGATTGTGGCTGGATCACTCCAACTTCTATCTCCTTCAAGATGACCTCACAAGGTCTTCAATCTGTATGTCTCTTAGAAGGACACTTGTCATTGGATGTAGGAGCCACCTGGATAATCCAGGACGATCTTACCTTGGTATCCTTAACTTAATTACATGTGAAAGGCCTTTGTCCAAACAAGTTCAAATTCACAATTTCCATGGATTAGGATGTGGACATATATTTCGGGGTCTATCATTCAACCCATCACAGGAGCTCTAATGTCCCTGAAGTGTTGGCATGTAAATATATTAATGGTAGAAAGCTTAACACAATTTAGAGTCAAAAGTGACTCTGAATCCAAATTAATGCAAATTATGAAAACAGAAAGAGAAGCAGTTTTAGGATGTGCTAGAAAATGAAAGTCCAATGAGTTAGATATTTTTTTAAAACTCATTCCACTGGGATCCTTGTCCCTTCTCAAGAACGTTGGATTTGGATGCCAAAATTAAAACAAAGATATCAGTCCTATGGCAGTGAAGACTCCTTCCTTATCCCAAAAGAGCAGGGGTCTGGAAGGAGCCCATTTGGATGCTTTAAAAGTTTTATCATCTTCACACAGAACAGGAGCACTGCTGCAGTTTGCATGAGGGGATGGAAAGCCAGACAGAGAAGCCTCACCCAGGAGAAATTTGCTCTTTGCCAACTCACATCATGCCTCTGTTGTAGCCTCTCTCTGGGTCTCATGGTTTGAAGCAGAAATTTCCTAAATGAAGAGAAGAGGAGCTGGCCATAAATTGATTTAAGAAGTAAAGGGAATCTCTGCACTCCTAGTAGGAAATGCTCCCCCTGAATGTAAATATAAGATAGTTCTAAGTAGCAAATATCTTATCAAAACAATCATAAGAGAGGACAAGATCCAAGAATATTTATAATAAAATGTTACAAGTGTTATCCTTTGAGATTTCAGATAAGAAATGAATAACGCTGCCTCAAGTGGGCCATGAAGGATGATGGGTAGACACGTGTGCATTTTACAATGGGAAAAGTATATTCTGGAAAAAGAGGGCAGCATCTACAGAGGCACAGACGTAGGAAAGAGCTTAATATGTGCATAAATAGAATTTTTAAATGGCTATTGTACATCTGGAGTATGTGATGGGATAGGGTGGATGACGAAAATAGAAGATGACTTAGGAGAAAACTGTAAATGGCCTTATATGTTTTAATACAGAATTTGATCTTTACAACTTCTAATGATTCCTCATTACCCAAAGACAAGCAGAAAGCGATCTCAGCAGATTTATGTTTCACAATACCTCTAGTGGCTGTGTAGGAGTTAGATTCAAGGAGTTGAAACTGGAGGCAGGAAAACAATTAAGAGGCCAGAGTAATCATCCCACTGAGAGGGGTTGAATGCTTAAATTAGGAGAGTAGTAAGTTGTATAGAAATTAGGAAATGGATATGAGTGCTATCTGAGAGGTAAAGCTGACATGACGGTGAAAATTACTGGATGTGTGTTGTGCTTCATTAGCACTTTGGTACCTACCTGTCATAAGGAAAGTGTTTTTTCTACTAGCTCTTGGGGTAGCTAGTGGCCAAAGCTGTCTCCAATGTTCCATTCTTCCTGATTCCATGACCCTGTGTAGTCCCCTTCCACAATGAACCTGGGCTGGCTCCACGACTCACTTTCATAAACAGAATGCAGCAGAAGTCACATTACGGAAATTCTGGGACCAAACATGAAGATGGTCTGGTAGCTTCTGTTTTTGTGATGTTGGAAGCTCTCAGCCACCAGGTAAGATGTACGGCTTCCCTTCTAGACAGACCACTCACAGAGGCCATGTGGGAAGGGACAGGCTCTGAGAATACATCGAGTGAGAGATAAGCCCAGCCATCTCAGTGTTCCAGCTGAGCCCAGCCTCCCAGGCATTCCCACTAAAGCTCCAGACGTTTAAGTGAGCAATTTGGGGTGTTCCAGCCCAGTTGAGCCCCTAGACATCACCTGGGGCAGGGGGATCATGAAACAGTAAAACGGTAGCTGTTTAAAGCTACTGAGGTTTGGGGTGGTTTGTTATGCAGCACACCACAATGGCGCTGAAGTCCTTTGAAGAAGAGTCTTGTTGAAGACCTATGATTAATTGATAAGAATAAAAATGTGTTTTTCTTCTATCTATTTTCTGATTGACCCTAGTAGCTTGACCTGAAACATCTGCCAATTTCACCAAACTTCTTTTCAGATATGGTCCTAAGAGTCCTCCATGTGACTCTCTCTCATTCCATGTGACTGAACTCTAAAAAGACGAGAGGGACTATTTATAAGGGCATGCCTGTATCTCTATAAATAACCAAAATTTAACAGACTATTTTCAATTTCAGATCAATTTTAGCACCCAAAGAAGCTGAGAATTTGGGTCCTTATTTCCTTGGTTGCACACAACTTTTATAAAGATACGCATATTTTTTGTAAGGATGGTGCACTCCAGATAGACATTTTTCCCTTGTTTATAACAGTAGATTTTCCAAATTATGTGCTACTGTAACCAGGAATTGATTACATGTGTGGGAAGAACATTATCTGAAGGTGGTAAGGGTTCCAAAGAAAGTGGAGTCATGAGCCAGTTTCAAGTAGCATTATACATGGAAGTGATGCATAAATATGATCACTTTCCATACGTTCTATGACATGAAAAAGGCTACGAACAGTGTGTTGCAACAATGGACAAATGAACCAAACTTTGTCCTTGATTTTTTCTGTGCCTTTGTGTCCACCAAGTCACAGTTAGCTAAAGGCGCAGGATCATTACTGAAAATATTAGAAATTCTTCCATTGATCTTTATGTCAATAATGATGGAGACCTGGTTTGGGAATTTGACCAGGAGTTGGAAATGTGATTGCTCTTTTTCTGTGTGTATTTTTTCCCTTTTTCTCTTCTTTCTTTGTCCCCAGGCACGTTATAACTGCATTTTGTGGGAGGAGTTAACAACGCATAGTAGGGGTGGCTGAGAATTGGGGGAAAGAGAAGGCCTTGAGATGTATCCTTTATGGCTGATTGAAGCCTATTGTGAGGCCCAAATCTTTGGCTTAGGCAGCCCAACTCCCTTGTCGGGCCCCATGAACTCCCTGACCTCACTCCCACTCCTCCTGGAAGACAGCTGCTCCTCTGCCTGTCACTCATTTGAACCCTCCACTCTTGCTGCTGCCTCCACACCCGTGCCCCTACAGCTCCCTTTTCCTCTGCTCTTTGTTTATCTGAGTATGACATCTTCACTAAGACCCCCTCTCCAGTGACCCTTCCCTCTCCTGAACTCCTGAATTAACTTTCTGGGTATTTACTCCACCCAGGGGTGAAAATAGGTCAGTCATGATAAATAAATGAAAAGCAACAGTATATTTTGGAACACATAAGGAAGCCGTTTGGTTTAAAACTGATTCAACCTGAACTTGTTTGTCCAAAAGGGCCTGACGTGGACTGTTGAGCACACATTGTATGTCTGCTTTAAATGTTTACCATGCTCCAAAGACAAGGATGATACCCCTAAAGATAGGGATATGGCTT